CATCCACCGTAAGAAGAATGACCCAGAGCTAGCTGCAACAGAAGTACGTTGCCATCCGGAGACACCTCATATTCACCAATACCTAGTGCTAGTGGAAGACGAAGAAGAAGCATGTGAAACATCTACCATCATGGACATGTTCAGGGCCACAGACACTCGCAGGTGTGACCGATCCGACAACTCTGACGCTGCTTCTGAGGATGGCAGTGACGATGACAGCAGTGACAATGACACAGGTCGTGCCGGCTCAAGCAAGGACAAGAAAGATAAGGGAAGTAAAGATAAGGGAAGTAAAGACAAGAAAGACAAGAAGGACAAGAAAGACAAAGACAAGAAGAAAAAGAAGAAGAAGAACAAGAAGAACAAGCACCCTAAGGCAAGCATCTATTTTATGTTATAGTAGAATCTTCAACTTTGCCTAGGCATAGTTCTTGGGGAGTGCGACTCTTGTAACTCATTTGGTAGGCCAACAAGGTGACCCCAGAGGAAGAAGCCGCAGAGAAAGCAAAAGAAGCCCGACGTGAACTTGTCAAGAAATGCAAGAAGGCTAGCTGATCACATCATGTTATTCGGACCATTGCCATTGCCTTAATGGCAGGGTCGCTTCTTTGTTGTGGCTTCTCAGCCAACCTCTCACTGAACGTCTAGATCTAGATGATAACCTGCCCTTCCAGGCTATCGCGGACATGACAAGGAAGATCCAAAGTGCAAATGAAAAGAAAGCTTCGACTGCACACTTGCTAGTCCCCTAGTTCCTTTTTGTGTCTTTTCCATTTTCGAAGGCACAAACATGATTATGCAGAGCCGGTTCCTGTGCAAGTACTACTTAATTCCTGATTAGGTCATCTAAATCTGACATGAAGGCTGCGATCACGAAGGAACTTGAGGGCCTGACCAGCCGTCTTGGAAAGTTGAGAGCGGTAGTGCAGAAAGCCTTGGACGATGGTGCGAAGGACTCTGTGGGGCGGGATGCCAACTTCATCGGTATAAGGCTTGCAATTGTGAGTAAGTCCATGAATTGCTCCAAATAAAAAATGCAGGATTCGATCTTGCAAACCTCGCTGGACAATGCTGAGAAAGGCCTGACTGAATTTGATCAGGCAATGGAACCGATCACTGGCAAGAAGCGCAAAGCTGAAAAGCCGGATAAAGACAAGGCTAAAAAGTAGCCTGTTGATCACTCCAGAAAAAAACACTAGATTAGCTATATCTAAATACATTTATAAGTTGCTTTGTATATATTGTGTCCCACCATGTCCCACCCATGTTGATGTGTGCAAGTTGTTTCCTCGATATGGAGTGTAGGGGTATTTTCACTGCTGGCCAACATCGGCCTTAGGGAGGATCCAGTGGCTGATGTCCGGCCATCTCAGTGCTTGGAAGGGGCTACCGACGCAAGTGAAGCAAAAGGTACTGCTCATCTACTAGCTTGGAGTGTGGAGTCTTGAAACATAGCTTGGGGCCAGACTTGGAGGTGCTCAACGTGATCACCAAGTTGGGACGATCTTGGACAACCTCGCTGGCGGAGCCACTGGGCTTTCTCATTCATGACAACCAATGGATCATGAAGTTTAAAAGTTTAAGTACAACAAAATATATCACCTCCAACATCCTCCAACACTTGAAGCGAAACCAAGGCTTCTGTGAAGAAACAAATGGACCTTGTCAAGGCTTGTGTCAAAGCACCTTGCATGCATTTAGTCACGATATTTGTATGATCGACAAATTGCCTTGAAACTCTGGCTTCCGTGTCAAGCAAGGACACACCTGTTGGACTACCTCCGACCATTGCCAAGCTTGGGAATTTCAGTGGTCACAATCCAGCAAGAGATTTCCGCTCGGTGTTCAAGCCTCCTGTGGACCGGTTTGTCTTGAAGTGTTTCATAGCACCTTTTGAACCACTTGACCCCAAACCCTGAAGGACACTGTTGCTGTGGACACATGGGTCAAGGGAAAGCTTCGAGAAAGCGATCCTGTTCCAAAACAAATTCCAATGGTACTTCCAGAGGACTTGCTTCAGTACCTGTTTCACATTGGAGTTGAGGTATCGAACACCGAAGCCTATTGGAAACACATCAAAGATGTCGGTTTACCATGGGCAGCGGCTTCAAATGGTGAACACATCCCTGTGGCTTTGTATGGGGACTCTGCAAAGTACAGCGCTTCAGGGGAGAAAATCACATGTATTTTCATGTCTATTCCCTTGTGGAACCCCAAAGCAGCCAGGCTTTCCAAGTGGCTCTTATTTGCACTGGAAACTGATCAAATTCTTGGTGGGCGCACTCTGTTTCCCTTTTACCGCAAGATTGTGGAATCCATGAGGAAGCTGTATTTTGAGGGGATCAACCTCAATGGACAGCAACTGAAATTCGTAGTCACAGAGCTGAAAGGGGACTGGGAGTGGCATGTATATTCCATGCAAATGACCCGCTCATGGAAGAACATTCAGTTTTGTTGGCGATGCAAAGCATCGAAGAAGATGGATGATGATGGCTCCAGCTATTTGGATTTCAGGGACAATCCTGACTGGGAAGCCTCTCAGTATACACAACTTGGCTTCCTGGCGAACATCGTTGCCACCAATAGACCTGGCCGAGCATGTTCTTTGGATGCATCATGCCATGATCATCTCAAGTCTCACACCAGGCCCTCTAATTTGTTTCTTGCAACTCTAAGGCCCATTGATATTATTGCCCCACTTCCACTTCACAATGATCCGTCACTGCAGCATGCGCAATGTCAACTTGGGCATTGCCCAGGTTGCTACAGGATCCTGTTTGTTTCTCATTGATAATTAAGAAGCACCTGTACTGTAATACACTCATTTCAGTGGGGCTGTAGTCACTGGGCAACCCAAGGCTTCTGTTGACGCAGCTATCTTTCTTCGGGGATGCTACAGCTATGACACTTCCAGATCGCTTGGTGGGCGCCTATAAAGACTTCAAAGCTTTTTGCAAACAGAACCATATTTCATCTTCACAGCCATTGTTTACAGTTAACCAGGTGACCTGGCCGGAATTCTACTAGAATCAAAGTGGGGCTTTGGGCTTTGTATCGAGAATCCCCTGTCAAGAATTAGGTATGGAAGTCTACCAGTCTTGGGGCACACCTCACATCGAAAGCCTACAACTCGAGAGTTTTGGTCAGTTGGCTGGCCTCATGCTTGGACTTGGCAACACGTGGAGAAGTTGAAGATGGCCGCCTGTTCGCTCGGTGGATTCACGAAAGCCATGCTGACTGGCCACAGCATGATCTCATCGTACCATCAGCTGTTGCAATGAGACTCATCAAATCTATGGGTTCTGCATGAATAACATTTACTTCCAAACGTGTTCCGTGACCATGCAAGGAATGCGCTGGCCACCAACTTTTGGCTGATCGAGGATTCACCGATGTTTTTGCCACTTCGTGTTTAGACTGCTGCTTAGTGATGCGCTTCAATCAGTTTGCGATAAGTTCTCTCTTAGATCTTAGGTCGCAAGCGCGCGCAGATGAAATCTATTGCACTGGCATGCGATTCCTTAGAGCTCACAAGATTTGCACACGGATTTCCCAAAGGCAACCAAGCACAGAAACATAAGAGACATGAAAGGAAAAGTCCTAGCTGCAACATGTGATTACCATGTGATCTTTTGCTCATTGTGTGCCCTCACAAACCCAGGCATGGGCTTTTGTTCTGGAATTGCCTCCCAAAACTTCATGTCTTGTGGCTGCACAAAAAGATTGCAATGTCAGGGTCCTAGGGAATCGTCGTCCACTTCACGATCATGAGCTGAGATGTATCACCATCAGCTGAAGGATTGCACGCGTTACCGCCTCTCGCACTGCACGATAAAGTTCTGCTGTGGCAATTGCAAGCAATTTGTTTTTGCGCGAAATACTAGGCCTTAATTGGCGCATGTTCCATTGTTTCCTGGAAGAAGACCAAATGAAATGGGCAAAGGGCTTCTTGGCTGTTAGATAGCTAGCGCTAGGTGAGGTGCTCCCACGTTGGAAGGCGCTTTCAAATTTTATGCGAAGTACTACTTTGCTAAGGTGTTTGTCAGATCGCTAGCCACAAGAACCTTGCCCGATCAGTGATCAGATCCTCGCATTTCAGGCTGCATTCTAAGTGCTGTGTGTATACATGTGCACACGTCTGTGGAGTGCAAAAGTGCGAAAGGCTTCTGGCGATGAAGAGGCACGTGGCGCGATTGAACAACCGAGCCCGCCAAAGATTGGAAAAAAAAGGGCAGCGCGCCTCAAAGTGCTGGATCTGGATGGCACGGCGCAGCTGCCGCTGTTTGTTTGCTGCAGCGGTTGGGTGGGGGGTTGTGGAGAGTTTGGAAAGGTTAGTAGCCAAAGCCCCCAAAAGTGAACCATGTACCTTTGCTAACGGCCTAGTGAACCATGTACCTCATAACAACGTACTCGTTCAACTGAGCCTTTGGAAGTACTGGGGTCCTTCAATACTAATACGATCTAATACGGGTGTTTTCTTGGGGTTGGGGTCCTGCTAGTGCAGCAAAAGCTGATCACTGGAATTCCCCGTCCAAGGCACAAGGAATATATAATTACCTAGAGCCTGAGTGACCTCTATATTCGACCACCAACCACCCAAAATGCAGCCTTTTCCTATCAAAACGGAACATGAGCTCTAGGACTCTAGGTAGGAATACCCATTGGTTGCGAGAATTTCTTCAACAACAGCTACTCTCCATGCTTCGTGCAGGATGGATAACTCTCGCCAACCTTTCAGTTCACCTGCCAATCTGTCAAACCTCCCGCATGGAGGTGGGAACCCCACTGTCAAGCGAGGTGGCGAACGCACCCACCAGTTCGTGAAAAGAAAGCCGTCTTAACATGTAGGGCGGGTGGTAGGGCTGGGCTGTCTTGAGGCTACTGTAAGGATCTGTACTGTAATGGGTTCCAGCAACCAATGCTGTTTGATCTAAACTTTGCCCAGAACCTTGTCCTTGTACGTATGCGCTTCCATGTCCAGCCACCAAGCCACGACCAAGGCATTACACTGGCCGTGGGGTTGGGGAAGCCCGGTCTGCCGGATCGGAGGATCGGAGAGAGCGGTGCGTTCAGCTCCCATGCCTTGACCCTTTTGGTGTGAAGACCAAAGGCTGACCCGGTGAACTTCACATCCTGAGGAAACAACCCATGGCTCTTGGGTAAAGGATGGTAAAGGTTATTGAATTCATGGTGGTTGGAAGCCTAGAATTTACAAAGAAAGAATTAGGTTCTGATTCCTGTGGGGTTTGTTCAACGACATGAGGGACGTTGAAAGCGAGGTGCGGTGATTCTTCTCCATGATGAGTCAATGATGAGTGTGGAGGAAGGTTTCGAGAGAATGGTGACGTGCGATTTTCTTTCGGGGACTGGACGTGCGTTCGCGGCCAAGTCTGGGTTTGATTTTAGAATGTCCGTGAATGCCAGTACCCTCCATTCAACAATCATGGACGTGGCCCCACTTCGTAGATGACATAGTCTTCCAAGGGGCCATTGTCCACTTCCATGATTGTTTCATATTGTTTCAGGGAGTGTAATTTCTTCTTGCTCTTTGATTTCACTTTTCACCGGTTCCCAGCCGTAGTCACAAAGCAGGATCCACTCGACTCATACTGACTCTATCTTCGGAGCTGCGTCCAATGTTCCCATTCACTGCCTGAAGCCGTCCAAGTCAATCTATGCAGTCAGTGGGCACTTAAAACATAAACCCTTTTTGGTGTTGTTTCCATGCAAGACATGAACAGATAGAAATGTACTAGGTTATTAAGATGTTGTGTGTTCCCATCCAAACCAAGGGGTACGTGGCTGACCTCTTCTTGGGATGTTCCGGAAGTTCCGCCAAAGCTTGGGGTTTGCACCGAAGAAAGAGGTCATGAAGTACTACAGCTCTGGCCAGGGAAGCTCAGGGGATGCAGATGGAGGGTGGTTCCAAGTGGTTCTAGAGGTTTGTGCCATGATGACCCCCCACATGTGAGAAACCTCAGCAGTTTGTTGGTTCATGCGTGGAGCTTGCAACACCTGTACCGGTTGAGACTCTATCGATACAAGTAGTTCCCGGGCAAGCCGGCGGCGGAAGTTTCCTATAAGAACAAATTGACCTATAAGAGTGTCCACGTTCTCTCCAACATGCGCGTCCTCCAGTCAAACGCACGCGCTCCGGACTTTTGACCCACGGGATTCCACGTGTGTAAGGTGTGTGCCCCCTGCAGGATCAGCAGCTCACAACAGCGTACTGGGTTGTATCTTTGCCACGACAAGAGGGGTGTATGACGAGTGGTGTATGATGAGTGGTGCATGACGAGTGGTGTATGATGAGTGGTGTATGCTGAGTGGTGTATGATGAGTGGTGTATTGACCAGCAGTTGAGTGTCCTGTCCTGCATAAATGCAACCAAATACTATCAGTATGAACTGTGCCAAACCTGCACGCCGCGAGAGATGACTCAGCAGCGAGAGATGGCTCTATAGCGAGAGCTGACTCAGCAGCGAGAGATAATTGAGCAGCGAGAGATGACTCAGTCGCGAGAGATGACTCACAGCAGCGAGAGCTGACTCAGCAGCGAGAGATGACTCCTCCGCGTACTACACTTGTACTACAAAGTGGCCAGTTCTCAGCTTCCAGCTCCACAGGTTGTTCCGCGTGCTAAAGTTGTACTAGAAAGTCGCCAGTCAGTTCTCATCTTCCAGCTCCCCAGATGCTCCGCGTAAAGTTGTACTTGAAAGTCGCCAGTTCTCAGCTTCCAGCTCTACAGATTGCTCCGCGTACTAAAGTTGTACTAGAAAGTCGCCAGTTCTCAGCTTCCAGCTCTACAGATTGCTCCGCCCGCGTACTAAAGTTGTACTACACAGTCGCCCGTTCTCAGCTTCCAGCTCTACAGATTGCTCCGCGTACTTAAGTTGTACTAGAAAGTCGCCAGTTCTCAGCTTCCAGCTCTACAGATTGCTCCGCGTACTAAAGTTGTACTACGAAGTCGCCAGTTCTCAGCTTCCAGCTCCACAGATACTCCGCGTACTAAAGTTGTACTACAAAGTCGCCAGTTCTCATCGTCCAGCTTGCCAGATACTCCGCGTACTAAAGTTGTACTACAATGTCGCCAGTTCTCAGCTTCCAGCTCTACAGATTGCTCCGCGTACTAGAGTTGTAATAGAAACTCGCCAGTTCTCAGCTTCCAGCGCTACAGATTGCTCCGCGTACTAAAGTTGTACTAGAAAGTCGCCAGTTCTCAGCTTC